GGACAGCTGACCCCAACTGACCAAAGGGATGTCCCACACCATATGATGTCATGCTCAGCATCTAAAGTTGGGGGAAGAAGAAGAAAGGGGGGGGAATGGGCACATTCGGAGTGATGGCCTTTGTTGTCCAAGTCACCAAAGTTATGCGTGACTGAGCCCTGCTTTCCTGGGGATGGCTGAGCACCTGCCTGCCCATGGGAAGCAAGGAATGAATTCCTGGTTCTGCTTTGCCTCTGTGAACGGCTTTTCCTTTGCCTGTTAAACTCTCTTTATCTCAACCCACGAGTTCTCGCTTTTACCCTTCTGATTCTCTCTCCCATCCCACTGTGGGGGGAGCGAGCAAGTGGCTGGGTGGGGCCGAGCTGCTGGCTGGGGTTAAACCAGGATAGGTGTCAATTTATGAAGAGATACAGAGAGAAGACAAAGAAAAAAAAATACAGTATGCATTTTTACTGAAATCTCACAAGTCATTTGTCTGGGGAAGGGTGGGGGGGAGGTAAAATTGACATCAAGCAGCTTCTCGCACGTCGGTTCTGTGGACGGGGCGGGGGGGGAGAGAGAGAGCGCCTTTGTTACAGTCGTGGGAAGGGTAAGAGAGCGCTTCACTGCGAAACTTGGATAAAACTGACATCAAGCAACTTAAGAAAAAAAACTTCTAGAACCTTAGAAGCTACAAAAAGCGAAATTTTAAATGAGTTACATTTATTCAGTTAAAAAATTGACAGTTAGTAATGATCACATGAACACCAGGGAACTGTATCTACATTTCCTGACGTCAATATGAGCGGCACTAGGGTTTTTCTGTTGGTTCTTTTACGTATACAAATCTAATGCCAGTTAAAAAAATACAAAACTGAAACCCAAGACACTGTGAAATCAACACTGCTTAAAAACTCAAAATTCATTCTGATATATTTGAAAATAAATAATTTTTACCTTTCTTGTTAAAAAAAGACAACCCACCGACTGCTTTCAAAGCAGTAACATCTTTTAAGACCATTCCCAGAAGTGTTTCATAAATAATTACCCATTGATTGTCTACGAATGCAGCATCTCTCGGTCGCAGCTGGGGTCTCTAGATTAGGCCATACAGTATTTTGTTCAGACACAGTGTTTTGTTTTGTGATTTCCCTCCCCTCCCTTTTTTTTATTTAGGTACAATTTCTTTGAATATAGAATATCATGCTGGCAAAATTCATGCAGATGACATAGCATGAAGCATAGCAGAGCTTAAAATCACCTGTTTAAAAAAAAAAAAAACAAAAAAAAACCAAACGAAAAAAGAAGACAACAAGGAATGTAGTGTTAAAAAATCATGATAGTGAAAAAGCAACTATCCAGTCTCATGGACAACCAAGACGATTTCAAAAGGTCTCTCACAGTTGTCTCATCTACTATGATTTGTTTAAATATGTCTTTTTACATCCAGATTCACTTAGTTCTCTTCACCTTTTTCCACCAGGGATAAGTAAAAAAATAAAAGGTTAATTATTAAAACTAGTCTCTTTTCCCTTTTAATCAAAATACCCATTTTCCAGCCCTCTGACTGTACATCTGATTTTAATAATGATTTCAAATAGAGAAACTTAGGACTCTGACATGTTCGACATCTCCTGATGCCACGACATTTAAAACACTCATAACAATACCTGGGTTCAATCTCAGAAAATACAAACAGTTCTCTAATCGACTCCAACATTTGAAAAAGGCCACATCTTTAAACCTTCAGCACGTTTTCACACACAAGTTATAATCCTAAGGGACACTTAGAATTACCGAGCAGGCAAATGAGCCTCCGGATGATTCTCTCTCATAGGCAACTGTGCAACTTAAAAAGTCTCCTTCCAAGGAAGCCGTCATCGCTAATCCCTTCCCCTGGCCAGATAAAACACAAAGCCAACTGGTTTTAGAAGCCTTTTTAATCTTGCACTTTGAGCCTCAAAGGATCACCATATTAAAGAAACATTTTCCAGAAATGTCTCTCTTGACAGTTTTATGCATGTTATTCCTCGATGCCCCCCTTTTCAACAGTTTCACTGACTAAAGAAATAAACTGGTTTTCAAATAGTCTCTTCAGTAAAGTGCTTGTCATTACTCAAAAAAAAAAAAAAAAAAAGAGAAAGTGCTATTTGAGTCTTAAGAGAATTTCCTTTTCTGTGAAAAACTGCCTGATATAGCTTGGTTTTACTCATTTTTACATAAAGCTGAAATGAAACCTATCTCTTGTAAGGATACTGGGTTACTAATTTTGGTGTTTGGCAGTAGGCAAGGTGCCCACAGAAGGTGGTGACACGCTGGAACCGTAGTGCAGAAGGTAAACCTTCTAGATGAAATGGAAGGCATATGGAGAGCTCCTACTAGAATCCTTTCGTATTTATATACAAATATAATATATATTAAATATAATATAAAAATAGCTATATTCTTTTTCTCTGAAGTTATCCTAGAAGCTTTTCTTCAAATCCTTGCCCGTCATAGGCAAACAACGTCTGTCTCCTCAACTCCATGCAACGCTGCTGGCTTTTTCGCCCCGTTATCTACCACCAGCCCCTTTCTCCGTAACTACAATCCTCTCCTCGCCGGACGCCTGCCCTCCCGTCAGAGTCACTCTCTAACGTTTCAGCTCCAGAACCTGCAGCGTCACAGCATTCGTTACCGTGCTATTTATTAGGATGTTGCAAATAAGTCTACGACTGAAGTAAACAAGTCGGGCGGAAGCAAAAGGCTGATTAAGAAAGAGGCAATACCCCGGTCCTCCTCCCCCTAAAAATAAAGGACAGTTCAGCAACTGATTCAGCAACAGGGGAAGCTGCAGGCCCTTTAAAAATACGCTTTTTAGTCATTAGCTGTGAAACAAAGCATCCTCATCGGCGCACAGAATCTGGACCAAGTCCTAGGTACTCACTTTTGTGAAAAGGTCATAGCTGTGAAACAAAGCATCCTCATCGGCGCACAAGTCCTAGGTACTCACTTTTGTGAAAAGGTCGCCCGATTCGTGGTGGGCATTTTTCAACTGCGTGCTGTATTTTTCCAGTTTCTTTGAATTCCCCCATCTCCTAGACCTTCTCCCCTAGCTGGTCGTTCTGCGACTGAATGACCTCTCTCTGAGGTTACAAGAAGCTTCCTGATCAAAGTGTACATTGCTCTAGTCCTCTTTCAGCAGCCATGCTATTGTCATCTTCTGGTTTCCCTCTCATCTAGTTTAGCCTTTTTACTGACAGACCTATAGCAGCACACCAGAGTAATTTGGGAAGGGGGAAACGGGAAGAGAAGTTTAGACAAAGCTTGTATAAAAAGCTGCATCATTAACTGGCTGGCTGGTATCTCTATTTTCTGTAATTCTCAGTATAATAGCTTAATAAACCTATTTTACTGCTATTCAATAGTTCCAACAGCACTATTAAAGCTCTCCCAGTTTTCTTTTTTAGTGCTATATTATTATTGTAATTGGTTAAAAATTTTTTTATCGTCTAACCTACTTTCCATTAAGCAAAAGTACTGATAGCACAGACCTCTAGTCAGCGCAGCTTAGTTTGGAGTGGCGTGGTAGGGATAGTAGAGCAAGGCCGGATTTCTTTACATCGAACTTTACCGCAACAGGTTTCTGACAATTATTCCAGCCCAGAGAATGCCAGAAACCCCTTTACAGAAGGGGAATTGTTCCTTGCTATGTTTGGTATTGGCATCTGTTCCTTGCTCCAGGCTGCAGGAGGCTTCTTGGAGCAGAACGCAATCCGATTCTCTTTGGTACTGTGTTCCTCACACTCTCCTTCCGTGTTCACTACTGTGCTTTTTGGTGCCAAACTCCTGCTTTATAACCGGGGAATAACAACGACCTAACGGTGGGACACGTGCAGAGGCAAAGGCCGGCCTCAAAACGCAGCCAGCTGTACCAAACGCTTGGCTAAGCGGGTGTTACCTTCCTGCGGGTTTGGTTCATCCAGTAATACAATCAAACTGTTTCAGACTACAAAATAGTCCATCACCATTTGGTTACATTCATTCAGCTCCTCCTCAGTATTCAAGATTAATCCAGCTTTCTCTCCCTAGTACTAATTTTAACTGCTTTTACTGTTTTTCTTTTCAACTATCAGATCTATCAGCATTTATTCATTTTCCTCTGAAGTTCTGGCTTCCACAAACTAGTACCATAAAAACCTACTGAACATTTACTTAAAATAGCACATCATATCTGTTGGAACTTTTTATTTTCTTTATAAAGTGAAGTTGCCTTCTGAAGTCTTAGTTCAGTGATATCTCTTAAATCAATAGCCTGGTAGTGTAAAATGCAATCATGGTCTCCCCCAACACACGCTTTAAATGCTACAAAAATGATTAAAAAACCAAACCAAAACAAAAAAATCAGCCTACTGTTCCTCCTCCTGCAGAGGGAGCAATCTAGAATTTTAGATTTTTTCATCTTTTAAGAGTATTACCTCTAAGGTCTGAGATTTTATAGACTCCTCTGTTTCTGGCTAGTGGTTGAGGGGGAGTACCACTCAAAAATGCTCATGCTCTCAGCTCAGACCATTATTAAAATCAACACAATACAGAAATAGCTATGAAGTAGATACACGAGTTTGGTTGACGATGCACTAAGACTTCAAAATTGAAAATGGTTACAGATTCAAGACGTTGTAATTCAAGATGTTCAACATTATCACCTGAATTAAAATCAAGGCACTATGGGTTTTGTTGTTGTTGTTAAAATGACCCTGAATTAGTTCTGACTGGTTTTTGAAGGAGAATAAAAAGATTCCAACATATTTTAACAAGTTACAATTCTCACCACAGAGAAAGTGGTTAAAAAGTGCCCAAAAGGTTATTAAATGTAAATATATTTTTGTGCAAATTACTCCTATAACTGAAACATTCTTGAAAATTACTGTCTTTTTTTTTTTTTTTAAACCTTTTACATAAATATTTCCAACTATGAACTATATCAAAAGATAGCTTTGGGGAATAAAATTCCAAACCATCCGCAAGAAAGCAGTGCAAATTCCTATTTTTCAAATAAAATGATGAATTAATTATGAAATGATGGATGATATTCATGAATCTGAATGTCCTGAACCCTGATGCATGATCACCAGTTCAAACAGCTTCATCAATAATTTAACCTCGAGAAGTCAACTAACCAACACACTATACCTCACTGAACAAACCCTGACATCACAGACAAAGCACAAACAAGAGACTTGTGCCCACATTAAGGGTGAAAATAATGATGCATCATGTTGTAAACAAAAGGGTAGAACAGAGGAAAACATTAGTCTGAGTATGGCGTGAGAATTTAGGGAAACATATTCAAACCTACAAATAACAGATTACATTTTCATGCATCATATAAAATATTTTGCTCTTTCTCCTTTTATGCAGACATATACACAATATTTTACAGCATCTGTACAACAGAGAACTGGATTTCACACAACATTTTCAAAATATTTACTGTCCCATAATCATCTGAAAAAAATTAGATGGTTTTTGGACTATATTTCTGGCATTTTTTTCTGCTAATTCGAACAATTGCTCCATGTCCATTTGAATACTTTAAAAATGTACAGGATTGATAAAAATACCAGTATTTTCAACCTCCCTCTCATTTCAGTCACATTTTAAGATTTCACCTGGACAAATTAACACATGGCAGCGAATCCTTTAGAACACAGACACTGGGGCAACTATCAAAGTTGGCCATGTCCCCCATCATCACCTTGTGGCTTTTCTTAACAGATTCCAGAAGTTAGAAGTAGGTCTCCACACCGTGGTGTTAGAAAGCCTTCGTGCTGCTACCTCGGTAGCCTCAGTGCAACTGTTTGTGGAGCAGCCCCCTCCCGGCAGTTTGCTTCAAAAAGAGGCAGAGCCCCACGCTATTGTGGCTGAACTTTGGAAGGATCAGTCACCTTGTCAGTTCTGTGTCGCGAAAGTTGCTGCTGCTGCTGCGACTGATGCTGCTGGTGGTGGGACTGAGTAAAAGTGCTTTGTTGTAGTGGGAAAGCAGCAGAGAGGATGAGCTGAGCTGACTGATTTCCATGAAGTAACCTGGATGTCTAAAACACGCAAATAGGAAAAGATTATTTTTCCTGCTGCGTTTCCTGAGAAACGCAGGCCTAGTGGCTTTTTAACTTTCACAAGGGTTCAATGAAAATAAACTTCTGATTTGGTCCTTTAAGCTGAGCAAACAATGCAAAGATTAGTTCATACCAATAAAGTTAATTAGAGCATCTGACCAATTAATAAAGCAGCTGTAACTGGTCTTTGTAATTTCCCATGACAATGGGTAGGAACACATGGCAATTTTACTCAGCCCTAAACAGAACCATAACCATTCCTTGCGCATATAAATGTAGGCTGAGCCTCCAATTACTCACTGCATTTGTATATATTCCACCCATGCACAGGATCCCTCATTTAGTGCAAATGGGAGACCACACACAGTGAGAAAGAAGAAATACTTGCAAAATAAAGATTTTTAATTATACTCTCAAAGAACAACAACAAAAAAAAATTACATTCCTGGAGTAGCTACAGAATGTTAAGAATGTGCACAAACTACGTTGTGATAGTTACATGGACTTCGATCTTGCCTTCTCCAAAGAAAGATAGAGACCAAATTAAGATTTTTTTTTAACCCATGTCTTCTCGGAGGCACTTCTCTAGTGTTCTAGCTACCGCTACATCTCCCTCACCAATACCACCTGCTGGGTGAGCTATGTGCCAGTGAATAACTGGAATCAACAAATGGCAACAGATTTCCCCATCGATTCTTCCTACCTTCTGGTTCTTCTATTTTTGTAGGCGTTTCCTATCTGTCTCTAAACTCCCTGGGTTTTGTCTGCCTTCTCTTCTGATCCGGTCTCTCTTCTTTCTCCACTAATCCAAGGTTCTTCTCTGTTCTCTGCTTACAAGGTTACTTGGTGCTCAGCCTCCCCTGTAGCCTAGACATTCTTGCTTCGTGTTACGGGGCCATGTCTTGCTTTGGGCTGCATGCTGCTTTCCAGACCAACCAATTCAGTTTGAGATCATCTCTCATACCTTCTTACATTAATATGTGAATGCAAGGAACGTGCAAACTGTTTTTCATCCCATGCTCAATCAAGCGCAGCAATTCAAAGATATAAAATAGGACCAAGCATAGAGTGAAATTGCAGGAAAGACTACCTCTCCTTTAAGCAGCAAGATTTTAGAGAATGTCTATGGAATAAACTTATCTTGTACCTCAGGCTTGTTCATAGGTTACTATTTTAAGCACTCTGTTTTCAGATAAAGCACCCCTAGGATAAGCTAGCAATGCTAAAGTGTCAGGACTCCGTGTCCTGACACTACAAATTCTAAAAATTTGGAGAGAATGCTGCATTACCTGTAGGAACTGTTGGGGGTGCTGGGTCAGCTGTGGCTGAGCTGGTTGCTGGACTGCGGTGAGCTGCTGCTGATGGTCTTGCTGACTTTGCTGTTGCTGCTGCTGCTGCTGCTGCTGCGTTATTGACAAAGTCTGTGGCTGCTGCTGTTGGGCAGCAAAAGTGGGATAAGCTGTCACCACCTGTCCCATAAACATAGTACTTGGTACCATTACTGCTCCACATGCTACTGGGGCCGTGACAAGTTTTGTTACAAGTTGCTGACCTTGAGAAAATCTGTTAATGGAAAAAGACATTTGGAGTCCCTTTAGGAAAAAAAAAATCAAGTACCACCTGTACTAGAGGAAAGCAGATTTGTCAGGTTCATACTTTGCTATAACAACATGGGTTTTGATAAGCCTGCTAACATGTTACTTTGGGCAAAGTTTAGTTTAACAGTTGTATCCATGTATAGTTAAAATAGTAAATCACGTGATTTTTAACACTACTTTAGTTCCTTTTGTATATGATGTAGCTATGTAAGCATATCGTTATAGCAAGTCATCTGAATATTGCGCTTGAAGATTTACCTGATTTGTCTATCCTGTGTAAAAGTGGTTACTGCAGCAGCATTCTGGTTATTGTTCTGTGGTAAGCTAGAGGGAACCTGGACTACGTTTCCTGTTGTTGGCTGAGAAATCACCATAGTGTTATATAAAGGTGCTGAGACTGCATTCTGTGACTGGTTGGCAAGAGAAGACTGTTGACTGTGTCCACTAAGCACATTTTGTTGATTATGCTGAAAAGAAAAAACATTTGATGAGATGGTAATTTGAAAATAGCCAGATACTATGGCTGTCCTCCTCATTGTCATTGCCAATACTTCACAGCTGCCAATGTTCTTCTATTACAAATGAATTCTTAACTTAAAGTTGACAGGTATTTCTACCAAGTGAGGATTTGGAGGTGGCACTGACCCTCAGGCATCCAAAAATCTAAGATCAATATCCTATCCTCTTCAGGTTATTTTTTTTCCTGAATTTTTCAGCTACTTGCATACCATTTTTTCAAGATCCTATTTTCCATGCCTTGAGCATCTCTGTGTCAGACAGACTAAAACGTACACATCACGTCAATCGATTTCTTACTTCAAAGTTTGGAACTAGCTTACTGCCGAGATGACAACACTGTCCACCACTAGTCTGCCTCTTCACACATCTCAAAAAGAAAGTATGGAATTTGGATAAAGGTACAGAGGAGGGTGACCACAGAGATCAGAGGTATAAGGAGCCTCCATACACAAAATGGACAAACCCATTAGAAGCATTCAGCTTGAAGAACGGGCTTCTATGAAGATACGTGTGACAGAGAACTTTGAAATCATGGATAACTGAGAAGATGAAAAGTGAATAGCTGCTCAATGTGTTTCCCAGTATATGAGCTGGATGGCAGGTTTACAAAACAAACATAACCATATTTCACAGAAAGTAAAGCTGTAGAACTCACTATGAGATACTGTGGATTTCAGAAGTTTACACAGAATTGAAAGGAACTGGATAAACTCATAGAAGAAAAATCCATCAAAGGCTATTACATCACAGCTGTGATACACCTCTGGCATCTGACCGAAATTGCTGAAGAGTAGAAAAGTCAACTGCAGAAGCACCAACATATGCTTGTCCTGTTCCTATGCTTTTCTAGGTATTTCTTCTAGACCACTGCCTGGACACTGGATTTCAAGCTCACCTAGTACAAATCTCTTGTTATGTGTTCTGTCAACAGACAAGTCATAGCCATTCAAAAAAGGCAAGCTAAAAGTTTTCTTAGTACCAGTCTTTCCAAAAAGCTACTTGTTATTAATTATTTACATACCTATGTCTTAAAATAAAAACAAGATCTGAAATTACATTAGGAAGCACAGAAATGCATTTCAATTGTAAAACCTGGAACATGAAAAAATTAATACGATTCTAAGGACGTTGTTCAAAAAAAAATTGGGAGAGGCACATCAGGGAAGCTATGGTTATGAGTATATATTCTATCCAACAAAATCAATAATGAGAATTTTACCTGTGTTGCAGTACTCTGCAAAGGCTGCTGCTGTATCATGTGTGGAGTACTTATATGGCCTGTGTTCATCCCACTTTGAGTTTGATTAGTCTGAACACCCTGACCTTGCATGTTTATTGGTGTAAGCTGCTGAACATTTGAAGAATTTCCAGAAGCGAGCTGCACAGAACCAAAATTGAGTCCAGAAGTTGACTGCTGCAAGAACATCTTAAAAAAAAAAAATCCACAAGTTAGCTTTTAAAGAAAATCTGTGAATTATTCAAGATGTTTTAGAGAAACTAAACCTAATTGTTTTAAATCAATATAAGATAAAGTTTCATCTTAGTTATCAGAGGTGTTGAAACAGCACTGCAACCAAGAGCAAAAGGCCCAACTCCCCATATAGGGTCAGTATTCAGAGACTCTGCTGTAACTGGTAAGATAAGAATCAGAATCCTGATTTCTAGAGCCCTAAACATTATTTAATATTTGTTCTTAAGGAAAAGGTACTACTTAGAGACTAACTTGTAATGTAGTCTACAACTGTCTAAAAACAAAATGTATTCAAGATCACATTTCTATTTGTAGGATCTCCAGCAGTGAAACTAATTCAAATGAAGAAAATCTCAGAATCAGTAGGTCCAGGCATAGCACCAAGAACATAATCTTCCTTGGCAATCAAGAAGTCATAATGATTATACTGAATTTTCCAACATCACTGTAATAAAATGAATTCAGCACAAAAATATTCGAGTCATTACAAAAGTTAGGCCCAACACTGCAACAAATCAGGGTAATAAAGTAGAATGTGCAGCACTTGGATATTTTTCCCTAGTTTCCTCAGTCCTGAATAAGGTCCCTCCACAGTGCGTGGGAAGAGGTCTGTGCATCTCTCTCCTTCTGAGGCATCTATAAGGCAGTCTACTGCTGGCAGGCTTATACTAGACACAATAAAACACTGAAAACTGCACATGCCAGAAAATCCTACTCTTTAACAGAATTTAAGCAACATACTCTGTACTTCCAGAAAGTAAATTTTTCTACTCTTTATTCACAGTTCATACTGAGAATATTTATATTCTTTCCTTAAGGTGTATTTTAGGTTTTTGTTTAGGTTTGGGTTTTTTTTTATTTGTTTGGTTGTTTGGTTTTTTTACTTGAAAAACCCAATAGGATCATTCTTTTCTTCCAAAGATAGCTGCTAAAAAAAGAATGACAAAAGTAGAAAAAAATATACTGGTTAAAATACAGAAATCAGGTAGTCAGCTGATAGACTGAGTAATGCATCCTCCAGACTTCTTGTCTTTCTGGCTTAGTAACTACTTCAGTACACCATGCAAAGTAGAACCACTTCACCAGAAGGGTGTGTGGGAGGACCACAGCCTGATATTTAGGACCATCTAAGAAACAAAAGGTATGAATTTGACACCCTTGAGCTAAAACGGGAAATAAATGCTTATCTTGCACATTTTTGATGAATACTGTAATGGCTGCAAAGAAGTGCAAGAAGTAACAACCACTGCAACCTCTTACATTTAAGTTTAGGCAAAAGCTAGGCTTGAGCTGCTCGACACTGAGAAGATACACTGGGGCACTTCCAGATACATTCAGAAGCAAAACGGCAGGTACCTCAGGAACAGTAGCCTCAGATGCTATGGATTTTAGGCACATTAGGTCCAGATGGCAGCTGACAGGGGGTAAGGAGGATCACTTTGTGGAATTAAGTGCCCAAGTCTCCTTTTAGATGCCTAAATTCTCTACAGATCAAACCTGTAAGAGTTATACTGTAAGAGTTATACTAACTCACCTGGAGTCCTTGACCATGGACAATTTGAAGCTGCTCTTGAATCTTACGCAACTCTTCCTGCTGGCGATGAATATTTGCCTCTATCATGCGTGTTCTTTGCTCTAGCTGGTCCTTTAGATGCTGCATAGCTCCTAATTGAGCTGAAAACTGAAACACGGGCTGTAGTACAATGAATAAATGAAAAGCTGAGCAAAAATAATGACATTTTATTTACAAGCAGTAAATATACTCCTCCACAGTAGCTTTTTAAACTGCTAATAACCATAATACGAGGACAAATTCATTAGTACGAAAATGTCACAGAACTCACATTAAATTGATGCACCAGAATTGGTGAACTAAAAAAAAAAAATCCATAGCAAAAGAAATTGACGGGTGTCCAAATCACCAAGACTATAAAAAGCCTTAGTAATCTACATGGTACTCCAGATGTTAAAGCTCTCTCAGGTTAAAAATTAGAATTGCACAAGTTTACCAAAAAAAATCACCCAGAGCTAAAACGCATGCAAATAACTTGGGAATACTCTCAGTCACAAACTGCTGAAGGCTGAGCCCACAGAGTGTTTGCCACTTCTTGCCTAGGCATCTGCTACAGCTGACAAGTCAATAAAACCTTTTAGTACTTATGTCCTATCTACAGGACACATCTTCAGCTGGACCTGATACCACTGTTCTTATTTCAGAAAATTATTTCATAGACTAAGTTGCCTTGTGTTACAAGCAGATGTGTAGAAAGTTAACAGCCTAGTAGATGGATTTTTAAATTCATATCCTAAAATATTTTAGCTTGTGTTATCTACGTTTCTAATGGCCATGACTGAAAGCCATATTCATACAAATAACAGGAAGAAAAAATAAAGGAAGAGTGTCAAACTGGGGAATTTGCTCATCTCAAGAGAATAATGTTAAAGGTGACTTCGGCACCCAAGAACTCAATTTCCGAAAGATAAATTAACCTTATATTCAGAACATGACTATTTAAAAATAATAAACAATAGAACAACTTAATCCATACCTGGGACATGCCAGACTGGAGCTGTAAAGTTGCAGGCTGAGACATCGTTGGCTGTGCTACTGGTTGTCCAAGAGACTGGGAGCTTAAAGACTAGGATTTAAAAAATTGTTCTGTAACTAGAAGACAATGAACTTCATACCTGACATGAATATTTCTTTACATAAAGGGTCAATTCCAAAATAGCCTCACTGAACATAGGATAAAAACAAGTAAACATTTCCTGAAATATGTAACCTTAAATATTAGAGAATTAAGAACACAGGTGCAATTGATTATATACATTATATATATATAACATTTCCACTGCTAAAATAGACAAAAGCAGTAGGTTTAAAACAGAAAAACAGAAATTACAATTACAACTGTTTTTTAAAAGTCTTATTTGTAGTAAGGGGAAAAATTTTTTCAACAAGTTTGGAAGTTGACAACTTTGATTTATTCTTAAACTAATAATTTTTAAAAAAAATGCGTATTTTAATAAGCATTCTATTTTTGAAGTGAATGTATTAGTTCAACTGGAACATGAGCACCAAGTACATGGAGCATGACATTTTCTCATGTTACCAAGATTTCAGAAAGTATATGAAAGTATTCACTAATACCCTTAGTCATTAATCTACATGAATTCTTTATAGGGATACACAGCATTACATTGGCAATTTTATATATATATATATATAAAATTGCTTATATAGATATACAGACAAATTAAAAATGCAGACTCATAGAAAGAAGTTACGTGTGAATGAAAGCAGTCTTGCAAACCCTAATGACAAAAACTAAATACTACACACTTAATCATTGTATTCCCTTAAAATGTAATATACCCAAGTTGCATATTGATGATGCAGTTCTGACAATGGCATATTCCCAGTGAAACAGTTACAGTTTAAATTATGTGTTTTCAGAAGAAATAAAACAAAGGTGATCTGGATTTAATACCTTTTAAAGGTGAATTACACTGATTAAGTACAAAATTTTTCTCTGAAGTTACCTGACTACTCAGAGATGATCTTCTTTGCCCAGTCTTTTCATGACCAGATAAGCTTTGCCTTGGAGGAGTGCTAGTGTCCACCATCATTTTAGTTGGTGTTGCTGGCAACATACAGAGTTACAACAGAAAGAGGCATGTTAATAGTAATGTCAATTGTGCAATGCAATAATCAAATCACAGGAAGCATTTAATGAATAAAAAGAAGCTTAAGGCTTGGACTCTTTTTTTTACCCGAACTATACAACAATAATGCAATTTGATGGACTGAAATAGGCTGCTATTGTACTTTTAGAAGTCACTATACAACCTCTGAAAATCTGAGTAGTCAGCAGATCTACGAACCATCAAAAAGGACATTTTCATTTGCACACTTCACAAAATGATGATTAACAGCTAGTTACCCATTTAATTAAAGTAAGTAAAGTAGAAAAAGCCTTCACTAGGAAGGCAATTCTATTTTCAACAGTTGGTGCTTACATGAATGATCTGATACTGCAGTATGTGAAGATTTTCTTGAACTCCTGGAGGAAGCAGAAGGTGTGGGGCTAGTATCAAACCTTTCCAGTGCTTCTTTGAGACTCACGGTGTTTATGTGATTGTCAGACCCAGAGTCTTGACCCTGAAGAGACACACACAAACAACAATTGTTTTATCTGATTCGACACACAATGCACATTTCTGTTAGTAAACATCTAAGACCAGGCTGTGCCTCATCAACCCCCTTACACTGTGCAGAAGTATTGGCCTGGTTGATATCTGGAAGCTCAGTTTCCATTTTCAGCTTTTATCCTTGGAAAAGAAACCAAACCAAAGCCAGGTAAGCCTAGAAACCAAAATGCATGCAGACATTGGCCACAAGCTGATTGCTGGGTTGACCCTTCTCTAGCAACTCAATTCACTCTGAACACCTGTGTAATGAGTGACCTCCTTATTCTTTTGAGGAAGGATGAGTTAATTCCACTAGAAGGAGCACTGTCAAATGAAACTTGCTGAACTGCCAGGGGAAAACACGACACAGCATCTACACAAGCTGGCTTATCTAAGACCCAGTGAGCTTCCAAGGACATTAATTCAAAATTAATTTTGTATACTTCTAAGAAATGGGACAGAGTCACACAACAGAACAGCTCCTGTCTTCCTCTTGTGAATTCCTCTGAGCCATCTTTGAGTGTTTTTCAGATTATGGGTGCTTCCACTAAGGAAGAACATTTATTTATGAATCAAACTCTGCAGGAATCGGATCTTAAGGACTTGTGGATGTTGCCATGTTGTAACTACATGCACATGAACTCCTGAAAAAAGGAGGGTAAGTGTTCAGGGCAAAATACAGTTAAACAAACACCCTTCCTAGACTTCTTTGGTAATTTTAAATAGTTATATTTAGAGATCAGAATAATTAATTTATCTGTAACAGGACAAAACACTTCTTGCTGCTGTGTATTTGCTTAAATATTATTTTCAGTATGAAAGAAAGAAGAGGTAAAGAAAAATTATATAAGACACTCACTTTATCGGCTGTTATCTCTGGAAGAGACTCCTCAATACCAAGTTCTCGTCGTCTTTCTGCTCTAACTTCTGCATAACTAGAAGAACAAACCAAGTATGACTACTATATTCTTGGATGATTTAAAAAACATACCTAAAACCCCAAAATCCTCAGAGTCACTGTGTTTACAAAGTATCCCAGGAAGTTTTCCAATGATTCTTTAAACTGTTATGATTTCTCTACCTCCAATAACACCAGCAATACAGCTCCCATGCCATTAGAACTTCTCTAATACAGACTTTTAGAAGTTAACTTACCTTACAACAGTGTGCGTACAGACAATAAACTCTGGCCTGGAATTCCACTGGTGATAGGTGATATAGTAATGTGTTTGCAGCCAAATCCATTGTTGACCCTTTGTAAGGAATCTGTAGTAACATGACTTCCCTTTCCCATATTGCATTACTATAAAAGTGAAGAATAAAGTTTACTGTCTTTCCAGTCTGTAAATATTGGAATTACATAATAAACATTATTTCCTAGCTTCATATGGCCCAGAACTATGTCCAAATCCGGTATTACAACAATGATTAAGAACAGGTTTAAAACTGTAGCTTTCTTCCAAAAAAGATTTATACTGCATTTTTCAGAGAACTGCAGAATTCAAACTTCCATTTTTCTGGCTTTTTTTATATATTGTGAAAAATTTGTGTGCAAAAAATTTAAATACAGCTTTGTAAAGAATACCATAGGCTAAACAGAAAGTTCATTCTATTACACACTTCTGTTAAAGAGTTTTTGCATTTTTTAAACATCACAGAGCCTTTTAAATGCTATTGGAAGAACTGGAGAAGTATTAGTCATAGTGGTGTGTGCTCCAATTTACCACAATGAAAACTCTAAATGGTAAGTTAAAGTTACATCTGTTTTGTAGTTTTGTATCAAATGAAGGAATGAAGATCAACAGTGCAATAATGTCAAGTGACCGGGAGTAAAGACACTTCACTCAAATATAACACAAATATCACTACAACATTTGTACAATTTAACAAACTCTGAACCGACATCTATAAAGCACACCCATTCATTGTAGCAACTTAGTCATACTCACAATGCTCGTGACATTTTGCCAGATTATCTAGATCATCCACATGGTAATAATCATAGCCCGATGTTCCCAAAACTTCAAATGGAAGATAACCTATTATCGGAGGTGCCCTAATTAATACAAAAATTAATGTCATTTTATTTTCACACAAAAACTCAACCAAAAATTATTTCATCATATAACTTTTCTTGTTTACAGTATGTGCTCTGAAAAAAATTAAAAATTAAACCCAACACAAGCTATGAGTAGTTAATGCTGATTAGTGAACTCTATATATTATAGCCACCACTGTGATTCAGCTACTATTGCTGCTATACATAGAAGGAATTGCACCTGTGATCCAAGAATAGGAACTTCCATTCTAAGCTATGTCTAGATGTGAACTCTTCATTGGGTTCTTCAACAGTGCACATTTCCTAAAAAGTAAAAAAATAAAAATCTCTCTCAAAACTGCTCTATTCTAATTCATAAGCTCTTTCGAAATTCAGACTTACCTAAAGTTAGTAGATAACTTCACAATGGTTATAATGTTATTTTTAGACAGCTTCATTGGTTTTGCTTGTTTAGATGTATAGTACTGAGGTAGACTCTAATCTCAGCTGTGCCAGGCTGACACTCAGTTGATTTAAACGGAACAACCCCAGCGTGAGATTAAACTCAAGCTCAGTGTCTACAAACAGTAGTACAAGCAGAAATCAATAGTTCCTGCAGTTATGCTTTTAACTTGTAACAAGCAAAAGAAGAGATGTAACACTCCCACCAGATACTCTCATTACAGTATATGCTTATAATGGGTAAAAAACAACATTAGCAAGATAGTCACACTATTCTGACTTTAGGAATAGGATTCTTCCTTTTAGTGAATACAGAGTACTCTAAATCACTTTGTCTTGAGGGCACAGACATGTACTACAAATAACACACTCTTCTTATCTTTAGAACTCATGAACAGTAAGAGAATGATTGTATTTCCACTATTACAACAAATCCTCAAGGTGTTCTGTACATAATTTTAAATGTATTCTGCTCAGACATATGTGCAATCAGTGCATGTCAGTCAGTTTCTAATGGCCCCTTCCAGAGACATAAAGATGCCCCACCAAGTACTGTGCCTCATGCTGAGACGGGAACAGAGGTAAGTACCCCCAGTCAGTCGGTTCTTTTGCAAACACCTCTAGTACTGCCTTACAAGAAGAAAAATGGATGATGGAATACATGCATATGTACAAATACACCCCTCAAAGAACCACAATAAAGTTAGAGATCAGTGAATGTTTCTTTTCTGGACACCTGTACACGTTTGTCACACCTGTAGGAGCTTGCAATGGTATTCCCGTCGCCAGGAAGACAGTAGAATCTATTGATGATCAGATACCACAACAGTTTTCTAAAGACTACAGTGTGGAAGCTGCCGCTGCACTGCCATAATATTCACAACAGATGTGGACAGATGAGCACACTGCTGCTCTGCAAACACCTATAACTGAAATAATCCTGTGGAAAAATACAGTAGAAGACTAACTGTTGTTCCTACAAAGAGACCATCTTCCTTTTCATTCTTTCAGGTTATAATACAAAGAGTTTAAGTGGATATTTTGCAGTTCTTTAAATATATATTTTTAGGTTCTCTTTCTATGAAAGAAAAAAGTTAACATATTTAGGCAATGTTTTTTCCTCAACTTCATCGGTGTAAAATTTAAAGACAATGACCAGAAAGTGAGTTATATGATGGACATAATGAACAAAATCACTCTAGGCACAGATCTGTGACTCTTGGTGTGACTTCCAGTTAGCAAGATTTAACCTTCAAAACGGAAACTACCCCTAAACCCCAAAGCTCTTCTACTTTCCTAAGCTTACAGCATTCAATAAAGCACCACTCATAACAAAGTAAAAGATATGACAGAGCAAGCATATATCCTTGAGATATAGTTTTGATTTGTTGTTTCTTTTAATCTAATTATATTGGCACAAGTCAAAACAAAACCAAAACCAACTTAAGTGCAGGCAGTAAAATCACAATAAAAACGCCACTGTTAGAGAGGAGCTGGCATCAGGTTAGTATCTGATTACTCAATGCATTTATATTAACGATTTACAGATATTCCACTGTAAAATACCCCTGGGCAGAAGCTATATTGTTCAACAAGGAATCTTGTTGAAGTTGTCAACAAGGCATCTAGAAGAGAAAGGACTTTCATTTGTAACAAAAATTATCCTGGTAGAATCCTTTTGGCTAGATTAATCTTGCTTTCTTGACAGGATTCAATCATTTACCAGCCAAAATGCAAGACAAATGTTCTAAATAAAGTGTACAGCCAAATCCCTTCACTGGGGAGCAAAATTTGTGGCACATTTTGTTACAAAAGTGGTGGGGTCATATGCAGAAAACAAAAATGTGAACTTTCAGAGATTATTCTCATTAATACTACGGCTTTCTGCAAAAGCACTGTATATCCTTGAGAAATTACATTCTAGAAAAAAAGAAACAGAACCATATACCATCAAAATAAAGAGAAAAAGTGGCAGATGAGCAGACAGGTTCCACTTTAAATAAGGCAATCCAGTACTAAAAGACACATCTCATTACTGGCTGCATCACACATCTGTTAGTAAAGTTACTGGGATGGTAAAGTTCCTGACACAACACTCATTTGCTAAAGTCCAGTCAATGCTAGCCTCAGTAATAACAGAAGGTATCAAAAGACTACAAACAAGTATTGTCAGATTAAAAGTCTTCACTCTTATGTTAGTTGTCTTCACAAGAATATTTCTCAGATGAACAGCACTAGTCAAAACCCTTGAGAGGATCTTAAAACTTCTGTAACATGAAAGCTTCCTTAGGCACTAGGGGCTCAGAAGTTCAGGTAAAGAGGAATGAAAGTTTGGCCAGAGTATAATCTGTAAGGCTTTTACCCTCAGGAGACTGAAAGACCTGCAAGATTATAAATGGATGTTCCTCAACTTCCTTTCAGAAGGAGAAAACACAAAAGTTTTACTACAGTACATTCTGAACTATCAAACTTAAAAAGATAAATATATTTGCAAATACTGCCGGGTTGGTCTTTTTTCCCCAAGTATTTCATGAAGCAAACCCCACACATATAACATCTCTACCAACTGTAGGCATAACAGGAAGAACATTATTTAGACCCACATGGGAAGAAAAGTGTCAGATGAGAGATATCTATGGGTTCAAGAAAAATAAACAACAAACTCCAGCATGCAGTTTGGAGAGATCCAGTTCCTATCCAGCCTGACAGAACTGAAGTTTATATGTTTTCTCCACAGGCTCCCTACTACACTTTCAAAGTGCAAAGTATGTAGACCATGTCTTCAGAGGATACCACCAAGCCTTCACCTTAAGACACTAGTTCATTCAAGTTACATGCAGAATATTTAAATGTTCAAAGAGTCCTTCATAACAAGACAGCAGCTTAACCATGTGCCATATACATTTCGTGGCATTTCTTTACAACTGAATTGTAAGAACAAATGTTCAATAGTAGACTATCCTGTACCTTGACTAATATATTTGCAGAAAACATGTAATCTGAATCACAAACACAGACTAGCCTATACTGTTATCCCGAGTACTTATTTTGATTCATTTTTCTGAGGAATGGGCTTATAAAGTCTATAAATTTCACACACATCCAATTCTAAACTTGTAAAGATACCCTCCCGGTTCATTAGCAGCTAAGCAAAATGTTCTCTTGAAAAAACTGAGTTACTGAAAAGCAAACTGTACTGAAACAAAACAAAATATCTTTATTACCTCAAACCTGACTCTCAGTTGCTGACAAATAATTCAAGCTTTCATTAAGCCCTAAAAGATTTGCTTCTGTGTCAAACTACAGCAAGATCAGGCGCATAAAATTCACACTCAAGTGCCAACAAAAATTATTAATTTTTCCAGTGAAAGTGGAATCTCAGTGTTATCATTCATTGTGTTTAAGTTAAACTTGGTAAATTATACTCCTATGGACTTCATTTATTCCTTGCGTATTACTATTTTATATGACTATTCAGAAATGAGACTCACCATAGCAACTTCATTTGATACTTTGCATAACATTTAACCTATTTGTATGTAAAGAAACAGACACTTTCAGTTTCGTATAATAAAATGCCCTATGGTTTTCATTAATAGTATTTGAAATGTTGTGTGCATTCTCTCTGAAGTTTTCCTGTCCAGAGTACATTTAAAAATGATATAAAAGTGATTTCATTTGTACATACCTTGATAAATTGAGGTGTAGCTAATCTAACTGTGGCTACAAAGCAAACCTTGTCTTCATATGAAGGCCGGTGCGATCGCTGAATAGTTCCTTCAAAACCGTTGTGCGCTGAGTTGGGAACTGACAGAAGACAGATGAGGTCAGCACAGATTACAATATAAGCATGGAGGAAAATGGCAGTAATATCACAAGACAAACAGACCAATATTTATCTAGTGTGGTTTGCTTATAACTTAACATGCGTTAAGAAAAATGCTACATATAACATATAAACATATATGCACAGGAATACTAGTTGTACAGTAGTAATGGGAACACAACCACCAACTAACTTCTCAAAGAACTAAAATTACAGTTAAGAAGATATTATCTGTGACAAAGCAGTTTTAAGAAACTAGTAACAATTCTAATCCTTCTTGGTAACTACTAAAAATGGCTGGAATACATCTGCTTCAAAAATCTCTCTAGTGTTTCTATCAGCTTTTGCTAATTTTTTCTTTTGAACTTTGAGGTATTTCTTTCCTAGGCTTCCATCGCGTTCAGACAACATGAGCTGGAGACAAAACTGAGTAACAAAACAGCCAAAGATGCAACAATTACGAACATGGAAGAATCAGGACACTGAGCTGAGAACAAACAAATTCCACTTACTGAATCACAGAGCTGGAAGTGATCATAAGGGAGCAAAGGATGGACCAGACCTCAAAACAGATTAACCTTATCTTTCATTTCCAGCAGATATCAATTTAGTTTATCTTTACTAAGCTCTAATGATGGTGACTCCAAAACAAGAGACGTAGTACACAGGAATAATATTAGGATGTAATTAAAACAAATAATTTCAATGGAAGGGAGAAGGAAATTGGTGTGGAAAGCTGTACTGGCCCATCCACTCATCTGTGTGGTAAGTCCTGTCAGTGAAAGCACAGAATTGAAATGGGGGGGGGGGGGACAGCCCGTTT